GGGTTCCTGTTCATTCGTTCTATTTAAGCAGACAGCTGTTTTTCAGGAGAGGATTCCTGCACTAAGAAGGGGATCAGACTCAGTGATCTAAATGGCTCCTTCCAACTGTGTAATTCTATAATTTTTTCAGTTCATTCTAATTCTTTTTAAAAAAAACTTCAGTATTTTGTACAGTATCATTTTTTTTTTATTTTGAAGAATAAGCAGATGATGCATCTTTAATATTTACAGTTTAGCTAGCATCGTGTAGTTGATTATAATTTTATACTTCAAAGTATTCACTTTGTACTTGTGGATAATAATATGTAGCATTCTTTATTTATGCTAACAAATTAGACAGCTGCTTAATTTTTCATAGCATTTCTTCTGGAGAATTCTGCCTCAATCTCTAAATATTTTTGACTTCCATATCTTGGAGAAGAAATTCAAAGTATATATTTTCTCAGACCACAAAATGCCTTCAATAATAACTGGAGACAGCTCATGTGGGAGAAGGTTGGTTAAGGAAAATTGTCTTGACAATTCTTTAGGGCTTTAAAGGTAAGACTTAGTACATGAAGCTATGTACTCTAGAAACACTGTAATGCTTACAACTAATAAACTTGGTTTAATGCAGACAATATAATTCTTATGAATAGTCCTGGTCTGCAGCTGGGCCATTAAGTTTGTAAAAAATTGGCTGAGGACATTTCACTAAAATGTCTGAATACAAGTTAACTTAAAATGTTGTGTCAAGTTACTATCATAAATATAATATTGGCTAACAGTGCAAATTTTATATATGTCTAGAAAGAAGTGTATGTTACAGCACCTGGTTGACCTTGCCTGGGCTTGAAAGACCACCAGGGAATTCCAGGGCTAGACTGGGAAGTGGAAAAAATGTATACTGGAAGAAGCCAATGACAAATAATTATTGCACTGTTGCCAAGGAAACTGCATAGACATATTCAGGTAGTCACTAGCAGTTGAGTTTGACTCAGGATGTCTTTACTTTTAGTTAAAAGAACTAGAACATTTTTTCCAAGGAAAGGATGTACTGTAGCTGGCACTTTTGTTAGTAGATAAAATGCCATAGATACATGGATTTCTTGGGCTCTAGACCTAATGCTGGGTCTAAACCATTCCTAAAATTTGAACTTGCCACTTCACACTTGCTGGTAAATTGGGATCATTGTCTTCCTGCTTGACTCATTTACACTTCAGTTTCAACTGATGGACAGATGGTTTGTTATCATCCTGTAGAATTTTCTGATACAAGGCAGAATTTATACAACACCTATGTTACAGGGTGTTATATTATGGGTATTAAATTTTTTATACTATGGGTATTAAATTTTTCATATTAGACAAATTGGAATGAAATAATCTCTTCATAAATCCTCTATACACAATTTGTCTTTGAAATTGGAATTTATAAATAATAAATTTTGTAAAGACTTACTTCTCTTTAAACTAGCCTGTCCAACCTAATGCTCTTCAGAGGTATTGGTACTATGATGCTCAGAATTATCAGATATTTTACAACATTTGTCTACTGCTCCAATCTTGAAGACTTTTTGAAATTGTCTTGGAGTCATTCAGATGTAGACTCCAAGGATATAATTAGGATAGCAACGTTCACTCTGCCCCTTCTGGCTTCCCTGAGATTCAGGTGGCACCTGTCCTTGATATAATTTAGGAAAGCTGTAAAACAATGTTTCTGCAGTCATCTGCATTGTTTCTTTCTTTACTCTGCAAAGAAATTAACTGAATTTTAACAGTTTTTAACAATGGCTAGTGAAGCCTATGGTTGAAATCTGTGGTTGAAATAGCATTGCATTATATGAGAAAGGAAGTAGAAAATGATTAGAAGGCAATGTATTTTTGAAAGGTTACTGCCTAGTAAAGTAAAGAAAAGCATTTTTATAAAAACAGCATAGCAGCTCAAGGAAAGTGAAGCTTTTCCTAATATCATTATATCAATATTATTAATATTAATATTATTATATCAATAATAGATGATTATTTTTAAACAATTATCTGAATAGTCTGGGGATATCTAAAATGTATACTGTAGACAATCAGATCCACAAAAGAAACATTTGCATATGTTATTCGACATGGAACATGAAAATTATTGAATAATTGCTGAAAAAAATAGTTCATAATCCCAAATGTCAGTAATAATGATTAGGTAGTATGGGATTTTTCCAGCTTTATCAAAAGTGAATTCAAATTAAAGATTTTGAAACAGAACACAGATGGCACACAATGGCGAAGTGAAGAAGTGAATGTTGAGCTATCTGCTATGCTGGGACTTGAAATGAACAAGGTTGTTAATAAATTGGAATAATTTGCAAATTAATATAGTTTGGGAGAAGGGTCATATGGCACATTTCAATATTTTTTAAAAAATTCCTGCCAAGTCTGCTAGAAGATGCTAAGTTATCTGCCTTAGCACATTAAAAGAGCTATGTATTGTTTTTTTCTTATGGGTGTGTTACTGATTGTCTATTTATTAGGTTTTTTTTAAAAAAAATCACAACTGGATAGTATATTTATCCTTTCTTCTTAAAGTAACATATTGTAGAGGACCAGTTTACTACAAAGATGGAAATTACAAATAATAAAGGAATGAAGAATGACAAGTTAAGCCCAAGAGCAAAAATAAATCAAAGAAGCAATGCAGGAAGAGTTCTGAACCACAGACAAATTCTAGATGTTCTAAACAGCTTAAAGTAGAGGAACTGGCTGATATATAAAGAAATAACGAATGAGTTACATTCTTTTCTATCTCCTGGCAAATATCCTGTGCTGGATTTCGATAGTGAAGAGCTATCATACCTGAAGAAGGAAAATGATTACAAGACATGGAGTAAAGGAAGCTAATACTTCTCTGATTTGGACATTGTAACTAAAAACTATTCAATAGCTCTGTCATATGACTTTATGATATATTAGTAGTGACTAATAATGAAATAGATGAACTGAAAATCCTGCTTGAAAATCAAAAGAAACAGTATTGGAGGTTAAAAATCAAAGGGGAACCAGAATAAGAAGAAATACAGTACATCAATAATTACCCAAGCAGGGAAAACATAGTTTTCTGGGGTGAAAATGTTCCACACCTTTAAAATTTTCCCCAGCTTGGGCAAAAAGAAAATTATATATATTGGAGGCATTAAAAGTAATAATGGAGCAACTTATATCAATGCTTGGGTCCTTTTTATCAGCAGAATCTTTTGATTCAACTTTAGAGAATTATACTGATTTAGTGTAGGAATTACAAAAGTTACTAATATGAACATATTTGTGTTGCTTCAAATCATGGTTTAATTTTCAATGCATAGTAGTTTTAAAAAATGCTCACTGTGAACTATAATGCCTATAAGGCTAATGCAGGTCTAATATCTACACAGGGTTTTCCTAAACTGAAGAGGTTTTACAAACAATTGCCTAAATATAAGTAAACACCTACTACGAAAGGCACTTGGTTATGTTTCATTTGGACAGTAGGAACTAATAGCTTTTCTTTTTGGGGATATCATAGTGGACCATCTTAATAATGGCCTGATATTTTTGGATAGTTGCATCTTACCAGAGATTGGCAAAAGATATTTTAGGGAACTGTATAGAGATAAGTAGTGAAACAGAGACCTCACTATGCAACAGAGAATTATTTGCTTGCTGGTGGTAATGATTGCAGAGGTTAAGCATTTAATTGCATAATTAAGGCTGGTGGAAGGCTCTGGTATGAATTAATCCACCCTCCCCCAGCTAATTAAGAATAATAAAGATTGGTGAATTTCCATTGTGGCCTCACTATCTATGATCAAGCACAGTTGTATCTTGAGGGACTGGGGCTTGTGGTAATAGTTCCTATTTAAAAAAAAAAGTGGTAGCTTGGATAATTAACTTTCTACTGTGTCCCAGTTTACTCTATGTTTCTAGATCAATAAATAGAAAAGCATGCTGGAAAAGGCAATGGCAAACCACTCTTGCAAAACCCCCTACATGATTGTGTCCATGTAGTCACCAGAGGTTGAGCTCAACTCAAGATCATCTTTACTTTATCTTTTACTTAAAGATAGAATATATTATCAAAACCCAAATAAATATTAAATTTGTGTCTGCATGTGAGGTCATTTTTCTCCTCACAACCTTGTTCCACTGTTGCTTATCAGCCAGAGAAAGAAAATATCTAACACTATACCTTAACTTTCTATCCCAGTTCCATTATATATGGAGTCAAATTGCAAGCCCTTCTAGGGGAAAGGATAACTTTGGGTAATTTTGGAAAGAGTAATGATTCAGTCTTGTAAACATTCTACTCAGAAGTAAGCTTCAGTGAATTCAATAAAAGAGATAACTGTATATATTATTGCAGCTTAAATATCAGTTTGCTTAAGTACAGTGTTGGAAGCATATGTTTTCTTATTGTTTGTAGATATACATAATGTCAGCCACTTACCTACCTACCTACTTAACATGCTCTTCTCTATCATGGTAATCAATGTTGTGTAAAATGCATAAAGAAATAGCAAAGAAATTAAAAGCCCAAGATAAGAAAAGAAGGGAAATATAGGAAAATGTACTTGGCACCACAGAATTCACAATAAATCTGTTCTATATTTTCTACCCATTGCTTTTTGTTCTTTAAACTTGTCACCTCTTCTTCAGGATGTTATCAATGTCTTCTTTGGCAGATGGATGCCATATAAATTAAGTGGAATGAATGAATGAATGAATGAATGAATGAATGAATGAATGAATGAATGAATGAATATCAGCAGCAACCTAGATGACATCAATTCATACATTCTGATATACATTTTAGCCCTTTCATTTATAATAATACTTCAGGCCAGGGACAATGGTAGGTTAATTCTTGGTAATTCTGTGAAGCATCTTGAGAGCAATCAAGTTTAGTATAAGTTAAGGTATAATTGTTATATTGTTGGGGACAGTTTTTGGATTTTACTGTCTGATTCTAATATATTTTCCATTTCTTTTCTTTACAGTTCATTGCTTTTGCCTCTTTATTCTTCATCCTGCTTTCGATTACCACCTTTTGCCTGGAAACCCATGAAGCATTTAATACCATCAAAAATAAAACAGAACCTATCAAAGGTAGTGAGCCAGTTCTGCAGTATGAAATAGAGACAGATCCAGCTCTAACATATGTTGAAGGAGTCTGTGTGGTGTGGTTTACATTTGAGTTTTTAGTCCGTGTTGTTTTTTCACCCAACAAACGTGAATTCATAAAAAATCTCTTGAATATCATTGACTTTGTGGCAATTTTGCCTTTCTATCTAGAAGTGGGTCTGAGTGGGCTCTCCTCTAAAGCTGCTAAGGATGTGCTTGGTTTCCTCAGGGTGGTGAGGTTTGTGAGAATATTGCGAATCTTCAAGCTCACTCGACATTTTGTTGGCCTCAGGGTGCTTGGTCATACGCTCCGTGCAAGCACCAATGAGTTTTTGCTGCTGATAATATTTTTGGCATTAGGAGTGTTGATATTTGCCACCATGATCTATTATGCGGAGCGAATAGGTGCCAAACCCAATGACCCGTCAGCTAGTGAACACACAGAGTTCAAAAACATCCCCATTGGTTTTTGGTGGGCTGTGGTCACCATGACTACTCTTGGATATGGAGACATGTATCCAAAGACTTGGTCAGGCATGCTAGTGGGTGCTCTGTGTGCTTTAGCTGGAGTGCTGACCATAGCCATGCCTGTGCCTGTTATTGTCAACAATTTTGGAATGTACTATTCTCTGGCCATGGCGAAACAGAAGCTTCCAAGAAAGAGAAAGAAGCACATCCCACCTGCTCCTCAGGCAAGGTCCCCTACATTTTGCAAGACAGACTTGAATATGGCCTGCAATAGCACACAGGGAGAAGTCTGTCTTGGCAAAGACAACCGGCTGATGGAACATAATAAATCAGGTAGGACCCAATTCCAGATGCATGTCTGGTATGTCTGGCAGTATAGTGTATAAAGAATGAGAAAGCATTTAATCTTTCTTCAGCTGAAGGAGATAGATCATACACTTCTCCCTTCACTTACTATTTGTGCGTCAGTCTCATAAATGGCAAAGTAGCTAGATGTTCTCGGATCTGTGAATTGCTTTAGTATTTGCTAAATGTATTGTGAATGCTAAGTTGCTTTTTGTTTCCTCCTTTTCTTTTCTAGTGGTGGCATCCACTGTTTTTGCCTGTTGCGTAATATAGATGTTTGGTTCATGCATGCTTGTGCTATACAATTCTGCCTCCATTTTGTTGAACTTGATGTTTATCTTATGTACCCTTATTTGTCTGCTGGTGTTAAGAAATACTAGCAGCAATCTTAAACATAGATGATTAGCTTAGGCCAACCTATCCCAAATGAGTGGCTTTGAGTTTTTTGGACTTCATAATCTCTGGCCACCATGGAACCTGAAGGTTTCTGAGAATCAAGGATTCATGCACCTTAGGCTGGGAAGGCTGGTCTAACTTACATGTAGTGGAACAAATAATAACACAAAAGTGTGCTTTCTAGATTACAATAATAGTGTCATTTCATAAATTAGAATAGATAGTAATTTCTCTGATATTCAGAGAGCAGAACAAGTTTTTTTGTAATAAATTTTGATAATCTGTAAAAATAGCAATACTTTTTATTAATTTTTTCTATTTAATTTTCACTTCTCTTTTCACAGTTAAGGTAGACTAAAGTATGAATGCTACAAGATTGTAATTTAGCATTGTCTAAATTAAACAATAGAGCCTTTTCATAATTTTATTAAGAGTGCAATCCTACATGTTCCTGTTTGGATATAAGTACTAGCAAATTCAGTAGAACTTTCTTTCAACCGTCTTTTAAATAATAAAACTGCAATCCTATAGATGTAAATAATTTTAATAAATAAATCTAAATAAATATATATTTACACACACACACACACACACACAGAGTGTAAACAAATACATAAAAGAAGAAAAAATGTTTATGTTTCACAAGCTTTCTCTATTGTATCCCAACATGGAGAATGCACAGTTTGCAAGTAAGTAGGTTAGTGGGTGCTGGTGAGGAGAGATTAGGGGGAAAAGAAGCAGATGATCAGAGCTCAAATGTGTATTTTCCTTTTCAAATACCCTTATATCCTTCAGTTTCTATTCCTGTCAATAAAATTGCTATATCATTAGAAATATTAATATATATGGCATAATAATGTTATTTTTAGTGCAAAAAAATTAATTAAAAGGCTTAGATATTATTAAGGAATTACAGTCTTCCCCAACCTGGTTTTCTTGAAATCTGATGAATATCCATAATTCCCAACTAAACTTCTTGGGAGCAACATGATAGAAGAAGATAGCTTAGTCATTTTCATAAATATCAACTTTTCCAGAGTTGAACTAAGCATATGCTTTGGTCCCTGAGTACAGGATTTTTGAGGAAAGCCAGGACAGAAGTTGTTCTAGGCTGATGTGCTAGTAAGAAGGTAAGGGAACTTTAAGACTTTGCTCCTTGCTGTTATCTCAATCTAGAGATTGAGATCTACACACTACATCAATTTATATAGAAGAAAGGGATGATCTCAGAGTGTGCAGTATTAGCAGATTGTTAGCAGACAACCTAGAAAAAACAAACATTTCCTCCCAAGCTGCATAACTTGAGACAGAGGGAACCTAAACATATCCATTAAAACAGCAGACCCCTGAGTATCGCTAAGGAGCGCTAGCTGATGTGTCTCTCATCTAAGCCTTGCAACATACCTACACGATTTGGGATTTACCAGCTGAATTCAGCCCACTATTGCAGTTTGCCTGCTGATTAATACCTTCCTGCTTTTGCTGCCCCATGAATATTTTACAAAGTAATATATTTATCAACATCTTACAGGTGATAGGATCATGAGCTGCATTTAAATTTGTGACTTACAATCCTTATTGAAGAACATTAACTTACCCATCAGTGTCTTAGCTACTATTATGCTGAGTGACAGTTTGGCCTTAGACTGCAGGTGTTGCATACATAAAAAGCAATAGTGAAGTGTTAGAAAACAGAGCTGTGCATATTATGTAGCCTATCTTGTGTTTCCTAAGCTAGCCCGTTATGGAATATACTGTTCCACTGCCAGAACTGAAGAAAGATTCTAGGCTTTTCCTCATGAAATAAACAGGAGATTGCCATTTTCTTTGTTTTAATCAGCAAAATGTCTTGGATGAACCCTGATGAATTCCCAAGTTATTAATTATCTAATTTAGAAAATATAATAGCTACTGTCATTAATGTGAACTGATTTCTTTTAGTAGTGGATGGAAATGCTAGAATAGCAAAATTTGCTGCCTTTTTTGAATGTTGAAGACACTGAGGCAATATATAATACTGAAGACAGCATCAGTCTAAAAGGGCCAGTTTGTTTGTTCCTTAACAAATCATAGATTTTCAACTTTATTAGTACTATTTTTTTCATTTCATGACTTACTGCTACTTATTCTTCTTTTCCACCTTCAGTAGTAAGAGTATGAGGCAAGTTATTTGTGTTGTCTCATTTATTCATTGGCTATATGATGTAAATGGGCATGGTGCTTTGACCAGTGTTATCAGGTGAAGACAGTACAGAAAGTGAGCAGCCACTGTCACCTATGGAAAGGCCCCCACCAATCAGACGCTCTAGTACCAGAGACAAAAACAGAAGAGGGGGAACGTGTTTTCTGCTGACAGCAGGTGATTACCCATGTGCTACTGATGGAGGGATCAGGAAAGGTATGGACTCTTTCATTAGACTATAAACATTTAGCACTATTCTTCTGAACAAATAAGCCTGGAATAAAGCTGATGTGAACACATGCTATAGGAAATATTGTATCAGTGCATTTTTCCTTCATACTTTCTTTGTTGTCCCTTTCTTGTGTCCTATTAAAATGTCTTTGGCTCATTAATTCATTGAAAAATATGTCAGTGTTTCATTCATGATTTCATTTGTCTATCTGAAAGAATATAGATGTAGCTTAGGCCATTTTCATTAAATCACTTTCTAAACAATTAGAAATTGCTGTGGGATATCTTAAATGTCAATCAGTTATTTACTATTGTAAGTTAGTTATGTTGTAGAAGGATGGTTTAATTAATTCTGAAGTGGATAAAACAAAGTTCTGAAAAAGAAACAAAAATTTTAAGATAATATTCTTTGGAAAGCGTTTAAATTGAAAGAAGGTAGATTTATACCCAAAGCCAGTAAGTTAAGGATAGTCTACTATGTTGAATAGAAAATTGCTTCAGCTACACCGGTGTTACAACATTTTTCCCTGCAGCAAACTATTGAAAGCTCAATGGCATGCCTAGGTTACATGCATCTCTGAGTCTCAATCCAATCTTTAAAAAGACAAAAAACATTTGTTATTTACTGCTTTATTTGTTTAAAAAATTATATACTACTTTGCATTAGGATCTGGAAGCAGCATTTAAAAATCCATGTCCACTTTTGTTCACAGTTTTCCATAATATATGGCACTTTAGTATACAACTGCTATTGCTGTATATAGTTATTAATGTAAATTCCCCAAGAAATCATTTTTAAAGCAAATGTCCATGATGCTATTCTTTATTTCATAAATTCCCAAATAGAGACTTTTAAAATGTACATTTCCTTAATATTTATGTAACTACCCCTTTTTGTATGCAACATTCAGAAACATAACACTCTTTTTCAGATGCATCTTTCACAAACAAATGGAATTTTTATGCGGATTTTTGACCAGAGAAAGATGGACACTAGCGGACTCAGTGCAGTGCTACTGTCTTTATTGCAACAGAGTCCATACTGGGGGATCTTGCAAATCTGCTCCCACAGATTTCTTTTACATCCCTAGGTATGTCATCCCTATTTTATGTGTTTGTTGTGGGAAACCCTGGTGTATTTGCAGCAATTGTGGGTGCTGTCTTAAAGGAATGTTGCTTCTGAGACCAAATAGCGTAGGTTTTTGTGTTTCTACATCGTCTTGTTCTGTACAGTTCCTAGTGACTAGAGACCCCACATGGTTAATGTGTGGACCAAGACCAGGAAGACCAAGTCCACCCTCTGCAATGGAAATTCACTGGGAGACGTTGGGCCAATCATTCTCTCTCAACCCAACCTACCTTACAGAGTTGTGGCTGTAAGGAGAAATTTCAGGAAGGAGTATTGTGTATTCTGCCTTGATATCCTGGAGAAAAGGAGTGATATAAACTTAACAAAAATAATTAGTACATAATTGTTTGCATAAGGGTGAGATTTTCTTGGAAATCAGTGGCTTCTTTAGATCATAGCTAATGAGATTATTAGTACACATCTTATGAAAGCCATAGGAATTATCATCTTTATTTTGTGTATAACACAGTGATATATTAGCTGTTTCACAATAGATTCTTTATAAGTGGGACTTATTCCCAGGTAAACTTGTATGAAATTGTAATCTAAACAAAAATGTCATTTTGTTTATATTGCATTTACCTGAGAATTAGTCGCTTTGATAAAGAATCCATTGCTGATTCAATATAGATCAATCTTCATTAAGTAGGCCACAGACCAAACTTGTTTTGCAAAATTATGTTTCACTTATGTTGCATTTAAATGACCACAACTATAGTTTATGAAGTCTTGGATGTGCACTGTGACTGTTTCTTCTCTATCACCTTTGTCCAACTCACATGGTGCATAGATTTTAGTGTGGAGAGTGTTATGCATGAATTAGTAACCTCTAACTTAAGGCAAGATCATACTATGAGTGAGGAAGGGAGGAATACTCAGCCTAATGCTCATTTCTGACATCATAAAACACAGTTTTATGAGAAATGATCATTATCCATGAAAGGAGAGTTTCTATAAGTGCAGAAATAATGATTGCTTAATAACATGTAAATACTGGTTATTTTAGTCTCTTAAGTGCATGTTCTGTCTTTATTTTTTAAGTAGCCATTGGATAAAATTGCAATACTATAATTTTACTAGGTCGCTAAATAATAAACAAATCCACATATTTTAATGAATTTCAAATCTTGTAAATATTGCAAATGTATCAGTATTAATAGTATTAGATGTAGAATGTCAGATGCCTAATGGAAACACTTTTCTGAATGGAGTTTTTTTAACAATAATAAATTTAACAATATAACCTCTGGGGTTACAAATAAAAAATGACTTCTTGGATTTAGGTATGAAATGTTCTAGGTCAGAGAACAGGTCTAGTCAATATATTTATCAGCCTTCCCCTGGTGCATTCTGAATGCCTGCTCTGAAACTATAATACTGAGGTACATAACAGGAGAGCCAATTGTACCGTTCTTTTTTTTTTAAAAAAAATCACTGATGAAACCAGTAGACATAGCAAGTATACACCAGTGGTCTTTGCCCTTAAAATCTGTAAGAAAATATGAGTTCATTTAATTTTGCTGATAAGAATAGTGACACTTTATCTTTTTGTATATTATTATAAAAGAATTTTAGGACTTTCTATAAGCACCCATTGAAAACATATGTTTACATTGCATTGTGTTGTTTGTTTATTTTCTGACTGAATTCAACTAATGTCTGCATTTTCTCATGAAAGGCTATGAAAAATCCAGAAGTTTAAACAACATAACTGGCATGGCAGGCAATGCCCTGAGACTGTCTCCAGTAATATCACCTTACAGCTCACCTTGTCTAAGACGCTCTCGATCTCCCATCCCATCTATCTTGTAAACCAGATGCTATAAATTGATTACATAACTGTAACTGAAGTGCTGCTTATCATCTAATGGAAATAGCTATAGTATTAACCAGGTTCCATTGACATAAGTATAAATCTGTGTTGTACCTGTTAGTGTCCAGCAGTAGTACTTGGATAGCTGAAGATGCTAATTTTGCTTGTAAGATCCTCTAAAGTAGGTTTGTTTCCTTTTCACTGCTATTGTCCTACATTACCACAGCAATAAAATAACTTAACTGGCCAGTGTAAATAAATGACCATATTTTCAGGGATATATATTTAAATAAATGTGCTTCCATTGAACTTCATTTCTTGTGATTCCAACCTGTTCTGAATATGTCTGAAACCTTTGTCATAATTGCATACCAATGTGACTTCAGTCTAATCATGTTCACTAACCATTCTGTTTCCATTATCTGAAATCCATCTTGCAGATTAATTGGAATCACAGATGACCTAGGACTGTGTAGATTTGTTGTTGTTTTAATTGTACCATCTTACTGAAATCGGAACAATGTTTGATGGGTCTGCATGTGGGATTGGGTAGTTCGTGTTTATTTTGGTTCTCTTTGATTTATTTTAAGTTACTTTTTAAAAAACTGTTATTTCTTGATTGATTTATTTTAGTACTGGGTTAATATATCAGAGTTCTGAATATTTCCGGTTGTTTGCACACAGATAACTGCAAAGAGGTTGTCATTACTGGGTACACGCAAGCAGAGGCCAGATCTCTTTCTTAATGGCTTGGGGAAGGCACAAAACATGAAAGAAAGGTAAACACAATCCAGGCTTGCATTATTAAGTTAGCAAGTGCTGCTTGGTAGTACAGTCATTTCTCTTCTCCAGGATTCTTCAACATTTTCGGAGGCAGAGTGCCAAGCAAAACCAAAAAATATATTGGAGGGTTTTTTTTCCTTTTTTCCTTTTGTTTAGTTTTGTTTGGGTTTGTTATAGCTGTTAGAGAACAATAGCTTTAAAATGGGGTTTTGACCAGCCATAAACTTCTAACTTTAAGGCTTTCACATTTTATTTGTCAATTTTTTTTCCTTTAAATGCTTTGTCCTGTGTGTTGTGTCACTGTTTCCCTGTCTGTATTTTTCATCTGTCTTCATGTTCCACAGTTGCCTTCTTCAGAAATGCTCTTTTCATCTAAGATTAGCTGCTAAAAGCATTTGCTTCCTTTCCACTTTTTGATATATGTATCTATGCATATGCCAAGTATAGCTTGATAAATGGCCACTTCCTCAACATTTTTCAAAAGGTGGGATTTAGCAATGGTTTTGTCATTTCATTAGGACTGCTGCTTCAATCCCACATTCTTACAATCTGCATTCATTTTTATGTTCAGATTTTATTCTCTATAACTTCTTTTTCTTTATAATAAAACAAGATAACCTGGTTTAAACAACATCATGAACATAGTTGCAAATATGATGTTTTGGGCTGGTGAGGAAAAACACCCAACAATGTGAAAGACTTAGACATATAAGAAAGATTTTTTTAAAAAAATATTATAAGAGATCCTTGAGATTGTTGAAAAATCCCAGATTTTTGTATGCTTAGGATTGTTAGGAAAATAGGTCTATCTAAACATGTAACATTCTTTGCATAAGGTGCATGTTATATAAAAATGTACAAAAACATATTCGAATACTTACATTTCTTATATTTAGGGATGTACATTTTGTTTTGGTAATAGCACTTGCAGATATAGGGTAATATGATGTACAGTACATATATTTAATATGTAAATAGATTCATCAAGAAATTAATATCTGATGCTGCTATTATTGGCTGCAGTGTTATACAGAATTTATCATGGATTTTTGACTGCTGAAAAAGGGACAATGGAATTTAGCCATACCAAGGACTGTACTGGAAAGAGATTGCTCCTCCTGAATGGGCCCTGATCATCACCTAACGCCTTGAAGAGATTCTTCTAATTTCCTATGGAAGTGGAGCTTGTTATGAGGATTAAGGACCAGTTTCAACGGCTGCTGCCAGGAGATGCAGTTATTAGTCACTATTGATGAGTCAACTGTAAATAAGATGCGTGTGCATGGAATATCAGCTTTAGTCATCTATGCCAAGGGATGCTGCATTGGAAGACATCATCTCTGAGACCCCATGAAAAAAGACCAACATGACTCTTTGTGTATTCTTCTTGGTCCCTACAGCAGACCATACTGTGGATCATAAAAGGCATACAATTTAACAATAGTGATGTAAGCACTCTCTGTCATAGGTTTCCTCATAACAAATGTATTTTTGCAAAGTTTGTAACTTAAGAACATTAATGTCATAGGATTTTGCAAGAAGTCTTTGCACTCTCAGTTTGCTGTATCTATATTTTTATGAATCCTAGTGAATGTGCCAACATATGGTTTACTTTTGATCTGGATCAGAGATGTGTGATTACAGGTGAAAGTAGTAAGAAGAAGAAAAAAAAAATCACAGACTTTGCCCAGAATTGTATAGATGCTTTTTGTTGTTGTTTTGATTTACTTCATTGTTACCTCATAGGTATTGAAAGAAATAAAATATGGGCAGTTAAATATATTATAGTTTTTTTATTGAAATGATCACAAAACAATATCAGTAAATATAAAGTAGGAAATATAAAATAGATCTTAAAATGTATATTTTGCATAAGAGAGAGATTCTTTACTTTTTTGTGATTTTTGTGATAAAATTGTTCTAGTCTATTCAACGTCTATGATGCTTTGTAGCCAGGTACTGTGTGATAGCTTATGTTCTCTCCCTCCTGTTTAATAAGACCTTCTCCAGAAACTGTTTGTCACCCTATTTTGAATGTAGGGACATTTCCCACATATGAAACTCTGTATTGTGGACCTTTTTGTGAAGCTGTCAAAAGGTGCATGCACAAGCCTGGTGGAAACCAGTGGCCATGTAACTAACCAAAATGGAGAATAAAATGCAAAAGATCCTGGGGAGGAAGTTGGAACACAATTCACAATGTTGCTCATATTTTTTTCTCCACTGTTTCCTTTTTCTTATTCCTCTTTGGTTTAAGAAGGATTTGGCCATTCTGATTACAGTGAGTATCTTTCATACAGATTATTTCAGGATGAAATCAGTGTCCCATAAAACAAGAGAAGGAAATGATTGAATGAGGAGAGACTGTGCTGTAGTACATCTCTCTTCTAATTACAACCAATCTGTTACCTCTTAAGCAAATTGTTTCCTGCCTCTAAGTTATGTGCCTGTTCTGTACAGTTCATTATGCTGCAATCCTATACATATATCAAATGTATAGCAACTTGTTTCAGTGATGCTTAGTAAGACTATGGTATTATAATTCTCATAAAAATAAATAATTCCACATCCAATACTTCATTTAATTGTGCAACAACTGTCAAAGGGAACCAGGTTATTTGTACATGCTTAGAATGCTTTTCAAGAAATTGTTTATATCCATATATATTTCCTTTTATGTAAGAGGAAGTCTAAAGCAATGCTACCACCTTTTGTTGGTAACTGTGCATGCAGGAGCAAATAGACTAACTGTGGCTAACAATGGACATATGATAGGCTCTTGTAAGATACAAAGACTGAAGTCAATGGCACCTTTGGAGGGCCCAAACAGCCAAGATGGCAATCGCAGCAGCACAATTGAAATAGCACCTATTTTGCATGTGTGTTGATGTCAAACACATGTACAAAGGGGACAGGCTTCAATTATGCTGCTATGACCCCCATCTTACCTGTTTTGATAGCCATCCTAGAGGCCTCTGGCTGATGACCTATATGTCTGCTGTTAGAACATAATTTAAGAAGTGGCCTGTTATAGTTATTTAGCACATTGTATAACATTTTAAAAAAGCAGTACCTATTTTCTGAAGGTTTGAAAAGTCTGGGAAGCAAAATATCTTATATCAGAAATGTGCATAGATACTGTCTAATTTAAATCTTTGGAATTTCCAGACCAAGGGTTGCTCATTCAGATAGTATGTGTATTGAACAGGCTTTTTTTTTTTTTTTTTTTGCAGATGCTATAAATATTGGGTATGATGAACTAATGAGACTAACGGCAGATGCTGCCCCTATCACTATACTTGTATTTGGACACAAATGCAATGTTTGCATAATAATTATGGAAATATTTTTAGGACTATACGGTTAAATTAAAATTATATAGGAAGTTATTGTATACAAAAACCATGGACATGCATATTATTACAGTTTCTCAAAAGGAAATGGCTGATTGAGTAGTAGTAATGGCAGCAATAGTGGTAAATTTATTTATTATGCACCTGTAATTTAGTGAAGTTCTTTTAGGTCTGGCCAGAGCCTAATAACCTTTTCTCATGAACTTCCTTTTGGACTTTGAAATTAAGGTTTTCTGCTACATTATACACATATCAATAGGGACTCCATATAAGAGATATTTCAATTTACTATGTCATAGAAATGGACACTATTTCATGGATCACGTCCCACAACTGAGCCTTTCAACCTCCTGGAAAGCCATAAGAGGTTACAAGAGCAAGCATGATGATGATTGATGATGATGATGATCATTTGGCTCTTTCTGTATTTGGGAGGAAGGTTAATGATGGGAATGGGAGCAGGGGAAAATCACAAATCCCTCAACAATGGAAAAATGCAAAGAATGGCCTTTAATCTTGTTACTGATGGGTGCAAAATAATGGCTTTAGGGTGGTGTTTTTGTTTTTTTGTTTTTAAGAATTTGAGAGGGACTTAACAATGGAAATGGAAGCAATTTTCATTCTCACTCATTCTGAAAAAAAATGCCACCAAAAATCATTAGTCTCAGGATTTGGCAGGGTCACTTGCTACCTGTGGGTTGTGGGTTGCCCATCCCTGAGTTCTGATGTGTCCTGCTGTCACAGTGGAAAAGAAATATGTAGAAGCTTTCCTATAGTTCACTGATGTATTCACAATAGAACAGACTGCTACATCAGCCAGCTTCCTTCCTGGCTTGGAAGTTTAACAATATTTTATCAGCATCTCTTAGACACAAACCTTCTTGCTTTCATAATTTCCTTGTTCTTAACTTACTGGGCTGCTCCTTGACTGGAAGG